AAATAATTCTGCTAAAGAAAGGAAGTCATTCTGTTCATTTTTGCTTATGGTACACTTAGTCTCTCTCTCTCTCTCTCTCTCTCTCTCTCTCTCTCTCTCTCTCTCTTTTCTTTTTCTGTTTTTATATTTCAAGTAGGCAATGCATAGACCTGGTACAAAACCCAAAAGAATCCAAGATATTGGACCGTAAGAAAGTCACCCTCTCACCTACATCCTCCACGTGTTGAGTCCTTTACAGGGAGACAGTCATTGCTAAAATTGCTAGTGTATCTGTCCAGAGCTATCTTAGACACATGTAGGTAAATACACATACACTTATCCATCACTGTTTTGTCCCATATTTTTAAACTTTGTGGCTCCCTCACATAAATATGTAAAAGCAACGTCTGCTTATTAAGATGCACAAGCACACTTTTCATTCTATTAATTTTTCATGATTAATACAAATGCATAGCTTTTATGTGCATGCATCTGCATATGCACGCTAGGGAAGGAGTAGGGCCTTGCTCATGTGAGGCTACATGTCCAGCTCTTGCTTGCTTGCTTTTTTAAGAGTAAACATTTATTTATAAAATACATGAAACTTTAGGTCTCCAGAGCCAAAATCCTCTGTTCAAAAGATAGTCAGATAATTGCCTTTGATTTTCAAGAGATTAGTAGAGAAACAGGAGAAGATGGGGTGATAGTTACGTTCTCTTCTTTCTGGACACTGACAACTGACATAGAGACATATATATGCACACAATGAACTTTTACTGCTATGCCACCAAATACAGAAACATGTTGTGAGAGTCTGTATACATAACACCAGCTGTGCATTTCTCAGCACTGTCTCCTTATGGACTTAATGGAAGTTTGCTACCAAACAGCAGGTAATGTGTGGATACACAGGTAGTAGGGCAACAGCCTGTATAGGAAACTGCTCGCTTTCTTTGAGATAGAATCTTGCTATGTACTGCAGGCTGGGCTTGAACTCAGTATGTATCCCAGGCTGTTCTCAAACTCAGTGATCTTCCTGCCTCTGCCACCCCAAGTGCCGTGATCATTAGCATGCACTATTCAGCATGGCTACAAGTATTATATATTTTAAAAATATCATCAGTGATGCCACTATCATTCATAATGTCACACATGTGAGTATAATTTAGAAGAAACTTGTAGAAATAGAACTACAAGATTACTAGGTACTGTTAAGTATAGCTTCATTTACTGGTCCAACCCAGAGGTAAAATTTTGTTTGTTTTTTTCAGAAAGATCCACAGGCTTTTCCCCTAACCCAGCCAGAGTGGTACTGGGGTACTCATTGCTGAGATAATCCTAATATTGTTTGAAACTAGAAGGCTGAGTCTTCAGAGTCATTTCTACTCTGCCCTAAAGTGGGAGACACTTTATTCTTTCTACAAATACTTACTGATTACCTACTACTTATCACCAGGCATTATTCCAGTGGTCGAAGCTTGAGCAAATGAACAACACTGACAAAAGTCCTGGCCCTCATTTTGCTGCGTTATGATGTCCCAGGAGCAGCAGGGAAACAACTGTGAGAGCCCAGAGAGCAGGAGGGAGGGAAGGAGTGGGTGAGGTCAGAGGTCAGTAGAGTTTAGCAGCAGACCAGACTGTGGAATTCCTCATTTGGAAATAGGAAAATCACTGGAGACTGGAAATGAGGAAAGGTGAGAAGGGAAGAAAGAGGGACTTGTTAGAAGATCTGCTATAAACCAAATAGGAAAGATGAACGGGTTAGGCTGGGTTGGCAGCCAAGTAAGAATAGAGATGTTAGGATTGTGAGTGTCATCTGCAGATGGAATGCTATGCTTTGGACATGACTTAAGTATGTCCCCCTGAGGTTCCCATGTGGGAAGCTTGGTTTCTGGGGTGGTGATGTGACAGGGAGAAGAGCCTTCAGGAAATGGGGCCTAATAGGAGATAATGAGGTGACTAGGCACAATGCGCTCAAAAGGAATGAATATGGGTCTTGCCGAGTTCTTCCAAAAGTGAGTTGTTAGCAAAGAACATGACCGGCTTCTTCTGGATCTCTGCTTTCCTGTCCCACCATATGGGCTCTTCTGCATGAACACACTTCTTTCACTGTGGTGCCATCTGCTACAAACTTGCTAGAGCCAACCAGATGCTAACCAGCACCATGCTTTGGTATCTCCAGAACTGTGAGCTAAAGAAATAGTCTTTGTTTATACATCGTCAGCCTCGGATATTTTGCTATAGTCTCAGAAAATAGACTAAAACATGGAACCCGTATGATTTTCTGCCTGACTGAATCTCACACATGGGAGAAAATAGAGGTTAAGAGTGACTCCTCTTTGGCTTAAGCATAAGGATGGAGTTGCCATTTATCGAGCTGGAAAAAGGCTGCAAGACAGCTGCTTTGGGGTGAACATGAGGAGGATTAGACTTATGATTGCCATGACTTTCCAAGGTCTTTGGGGTTTTCCCATGGCACGATTCCTAATTACATCACCTTCTCGGGATGAAGGCTTCAAACAACACGAGTCCAAGGACTGAGCTTTCCTATTCCAAAACAGATCTGCACTGACATACTATACTAAATGCTCTTTCATTCTCTCTTTTTCTATGTGAAGTATACAATCAAAGGAATAGGCAAATGCAAATCAGAACACGAGCCTTGTTACAAGATGTGACATCCTTTCAAATATCGAAGTAAAATCCTAAATTTGTGGGTCTCAGATGTCAGAAGCCTTTGTTTCCTAGATAAAGTCAGGCTACGCTAGTTTGAAATCACACCAGTGCCAATCTAAAATGTGACTGAAAGAATAACCTAACCAGGGTAACTCCAAAAGAAAGGTCGCACTTAAAACAACCACTGAAGAGCCCATTAAAGAATACCTACCTACAATGGGATCATTGCAACAAAAGAATGGGAAGCGGAAGGAAAGCAACACCCGTATTTTAAGTCACATTCCTAGGATTAAAAAAAAAAATGTATAAACCTTCATAAGTCTAGGAAGAGCCTCAGGGGGAAAAATCTTGTCCTTTTTACACAAGGCCATAATAGGAAACAGCAGAACGAAGCACCCCTCCTCTTCCAGGGCCAGCAGGTAGACTAGAAAGGCAACAACACCCCATTGCGAGAGTAGCTAAGGGAATCGAACTTGTTCTGAAGAAGTAGCCAGACTGGGTGACTCAGAGGGATGACTCAAAGCCGACAGTGGCGGCTGTCTGTCAGCTCCGGAGGCAAGGGGCGCGACGTCTAACACTTGTCAGGAAAGTACCAGGCTCAAGGAGCACGCCAGGAAAGCTCCCCAGGCGCTCGGCCTGGGGCTTCTCCTGCCCCAGAGCCTGCCCTTTCACTCTCGGTGCCAGGGAAGTTCCCGATTGCAGGCTCCCCTGACCCCAGAGCTTACAGCGCGGGGGCAGGCACCACGGTGCGAGACGCCTGGTCTCCCCCGCCCCTCGCTGCCCGCCACGCGCCCACCCGTCTGCCTCGCGGCGAGCCGCTCCCTTTCCATCCTGCCCGTGCCAGCCGCCTGGGCACGCGCGGCACGAAGGCGCTCGGAGCTTCACTAGACAAACACCTGTCCCGCCCGGGCTCCGCGAGACTTGGGGCCAAAGCATAGGCAACAGGGGTGCGCATTCTCGCGAGGTTTAGGAAATTTCCCACGGCCGTGTTGTGTCTGAGCCGAGTAGTGAAGTGCGGCGGGGAGGAGGTGTAGCGTGAGACTCGGCTGCCCGCATCAAGCACATGCGCAGTGCCGCTCGCGCGGGCCGCGCCAGTCCTGCAGCGCGCCTGGCAGGTTTCAGGCGGCCGATTCCAGTTTTCCGGGTTTTGGGGTTCCCTGTGAGAGAATCATACAAGATCTGGGAATCTCTAGGAAAGGAAAAGGCCGGGAGGGGAAGCGGGGGCTGCTGCCGCGGGGGCCTGGGCGAGCGGGGCGCAGGCCTTGCAGCTGGCCATTCAATGTGCCGCCCGCGTGTGCAGCGCCACGTCTGCTGGGGGCTTCTGGACTTGTGAGGCTGGAAGACGCCTCGGGCAGCGAGCTGCGTCCCCGGAGCTGGGCCAGGCGCACCGAGGACCGGCTCCAGTGTCGCCAGCCCCCTGGACTGCTGGGCGCGCGCCGGCCGTGGTTGCCATGAGTTCCTACGCGGTCTGTGCCTGGATCGCGCGCAGCGTGAGACGCGAGTGGGGGCGCAGAGTTTCGTCTCAGTCCCCGCACAGCTGCACTTCTAGAGAAAACTACTCGGTGCCCTGGCGCGTGCTTGCAAGGTGGCCCGCAGGGGTGTCTCTGCCAGAGGCCTTGGGCTGACCTCCTTTCGCATCCAAGGAGAAGCGGCTAAAATGGCATAGCTCAATTGCAGAAGTTTTGCGTCTGCAGAGCTCCGGCAGTATCAGGCCACGATGTAATCACGTCTGTCTTCCTTCTTGCATGGGTAGGGGTCGAGTGACTAAAGACAGATCCTGTCATATCGCTTGCCCAAACCCGAGGAATCTGTGCCGCTCGCGCACCTAATGCTGAGGTTAGCATAAAGGAGGCGCCCAATGAACGTTTGAATGAATGAGAAGGGCTGGGAACTCCGAGTGAGCGGGAAGCCACTTGGAAAACACCCACTAGAGGAGGTTGTGCGTCTGGGCTGGTGAAACGCGGCACATTTTCCCAGGACCCCTCCCCCTGCCCCTCGGCCCCGCCTCCTGAACCCTCCATTCCCGGGCCCCGTAGTAATCCCCTCCACTTTTCCTCAGTCTCCTCGTGCGTCCCTCGAGGGCGCGTCCCAAAACCCGGATAACCGGAGCGTTCCCCATGGACCACACGGAGGGCTCGCCCGCGGAGGAGCCGCCTGCGCATGCTCCATCGCCGGGGTAGGTTTCCAGGGAAGGCGGCGAGCTGGAGCCCTTTCCCCTCGGGCGACGCGAGGCGTCTGGCTCTTCGCGGCAGCTGCGAGGGGAGAAGGAGCGCGGGGGCTGGGTGGAATCGAGGAGTGAGGAAAAAGGGAAGGGGCGGGGGAGAGGGACCAGGGACGGCGTCGGGGGGAATCTCGCGAGGGTTGGAGTTTTGGCGAGAGTTTGTGGAAGATGGCGCCTGTTGTGACAGGGTAAGTCTGGGGAACGGGAGCGCTGGGAACCGGGAAAGTTGCGAGCGCCCAGCAGCCCGTGGCAGCTGGCGGGCTCGGGGTCGCGGCGCGCGTGGCCTCGGGAGGCGTGGGGCGGCGTGGCGCGCGCCG